CAGTAATTATCTAATTCATTATCTAATCATAAGCATTATCTAATTCCAGTATTTTCATCACCTAAAATAACAAACAAAAACAAAACAAAACAAAAACAGTAATGACTCTATTTGCCCTCAATCCCTGTGCCTTGGCAACATTAATCTGTTTTTCCCCCTATTGATATGCCTATTTTGAACATTATGGAATTGTATGATGCATAGACTTTTATATCTGGTGTTTGTCTAAGCTTGTTTTTTCAAGATTTCCCCATATTACAGTGTGTTTTAGCTAGTTTATTTATTTATTTTATGTATTGTAGAAGGAGCTGTGGGCTGGCGTTCCTGTTGCCCAGCTCCCAGCCGCCTGGCTAGCTTATGCCCCGAAATAACAACACACAAACTATATTCATTTAAACACTGCTTGGCCCATTAGCTCTAGCCTCTTACTGGCTAACTCTCACATCTTGATTAACCCATATCTCATAATCTTTGTAGCACCACGAGGTGGTGTCTTACCAGAAAGATTCTAGTGTACATCCATCTTGGGCTGGAGCTTCATCGTGTCTGCCCTGGAGAGGAGTGGCATGGCATCTGCCTCACTTCCCTTCTTCCCAGCATTCTGTTCTGTTTACTCCGCCTACCTAATTTTCTGTCCTATCAGGCCAAGCAGTTTTCTTTACTGATTAACCAATGAAACAACAGATTGACAAATGACCTTCCCACATCAATGTATGAGCGTTCTATCTGCATATATGCCTTTATGCCCGAAGAGGGCATCAGGTTCCCTCTGAGATGGTTGTGAGCCACCATGTGGTTGCTGAGAATCGAACTTCAGAACCTCTGGAAGAGCAGCCAATGCTCTTAACCACTGAGCCATCTCTCCAGTCCTTAGCTAGGGTTTCTATCTCTGTGATGAAACACTATGATCTAAAAGCAAGCTGGGGAGGAAAGGGTTTATTTGGTTTATACTTTCATATTGCTGTTCATCATCAAGGAAGTTAGGACAGGTACTCAGACTGGGTAGGAACTTGGAAGAGGAACTGAGGCAAAGGCCATGGAGGGGTGCTACTTACTGGCTTTCTTCCCATTGAAACATGATTAATAAAATCCCAGGGTCAGAAATTGGGGTTCAACCTGAAGATCCGAGAAGCAAAACAACCAGCCACTGGCTCTTACCTTGACCTAGTCTGAAATGGCAATCCTACCTCCAGGAATTGTAGTGCCTGAGAGCTATCTCACCCCTGTCTTATATTCCTCTCTAGTGCTGGAATTAAAGGCATGCACCACTAGGATTAAAGATGTGTGTTATCATAACCTGGTCTGTAAGGCTGTTTTACTCTCAGATCTTCAGGCAGTCTTTATTTATTAAAAGACATTTGATATGCCACTACACCTTGTGGTGGTTTGCTCAGCCTGTTTTCTCTCTCTCTCTCTCTCTCTCTCTCTCTCTCTCTCTCTCTGTCTGTCTTTCTACTTATTTATTATACATACAGTGTTCTGCCTGCACATATGCCTGCAGACCAGAAAAGGGCACCAGATCTCATTACAGATGGTTGTGAGCCACTATGTGGTTGCTGGGAATTGAACTCAGGGCCTCTGGAATAGCAGCCAGTGCTCTTAACCTCTGAGCCATCTCTCCAGCCCTCATCCTGCTTTCTTATAGAACCCAGGACCACCAGCCCAGTGATGGTACCATTCACAATGGGCTGGGTCCTCCTCCATCAATAACTAATTAAGAAAATGCCTTCTAGCTAGATCTTATGGAGGCGTTTTCTCAATTAAGGTTCTCTCCTTTCAGATAACTCTAGTTTGTGTGTCAATTTGATGTAAGATTGGCCAGGACACAGTGTATATTTTATTTCTTTTTATAGTTGAAGTGATATCTTACATTTTGTTAAGCCAGTACCCATCATTTGGTAGACATTTGAGTTGTTTCCATTTGGGGATGTTATGAATAATACTGCTAAAAACATATCCTAACTTGTTTTTGTTTTAGTCTCATCCAGCTGAAACATTTATAAGGTTTTTTTTAAGATTTATTTTTATTTTTTATTTGTTCATTTTATTTTATGTATGAGCGTTTTGACTGCATGTATGTATGTATATCTCATGAGAACTTGATGCCTGTGGAGGTCAGAAGAGGATGTTAGATCCCCTGGAACTGGAGGTACAGATGGTTGTGAGCCACCATGTGGGTGCTGGGAATCAAACCTGGGTCCTCTGCAAGAGCAGTCAGTGCTCTTAAGCACTGAGATATCTCTCCAGACCCCCATTTATAAGGGTTTAATTTCAAACATCATATCTTTAAATTCTAATATTTTTTAAAAGATTTATTTATTTCTTATGTATACAACATTCTGCCTCCATGTATGCCCGCATGCCAGAAGAGGGCGCCAGATCTCATTACAGATGGTTGTGAGCCACCATGTGGTTTCTGGGAATTGAAATCTGGACCTCTGGAAGAGCAGCCTCTTAACCACTGAGCCACCTCTCCAGCCCTAAATTCCAATATTTTTAATAAGGCTTCCCCTATTACTTTTGGTTTAACTTATTACAGTGGGTGATGTGGAATTCCCCTCTGTATGCTGTGAATACCATTGGTGAATAAAGAAACTGCCGGGGCCTGTTTATAGGGCAGAACTTAGGTAGGTGGGGAAAGCTAAACTGAATGCTGGGAGAAAGGAGGCAGAGTCAGGGAGAAGCCATGTAGCTCCACCAGAGATGGACGCCAGAACTTTACCCAGTAAGCCACAGCCACGTGGCAATACACAGATAAATAGAAATGGGTTAAATTAATATGTAAGAGTTAGCCAATAAGAAGCTAGAGCTAATGGGCTAAGCAGTGTTTTAATTAATACAGTTTCTGTGTAATTATTTCTGGGCTGAACAGCTGGGAAACGAACAAGCAGCCTCCTTACAACAAGTGGGTTCTTGTTTCATGGCTTCTTTTTCTTTGTTGAAGGTATAGATATTTATTTTAAAATGTCTAATTACTAACTAACTCTCAGGTACAAGTGTTGTTGTTTGCCATGTTATAGTTTTGATGGTATCAAGCTTCGTTGCTTGGCAATTTAGAGTTAATCATCCATGACCTATTTGCTTGAATACATCCCATGTTGTCAACTGGTAGGTCAAAAGGTTCTCAGGGTTGCTGAGCCCTAGCCTGGCATGGCGTATGTCTTAAATTGTACTTTACCTGGGTAATGAGATGCAAAGCTCCTGGATGTAATAGTTGTGTGATTCTGAGTCCTGTGACTACTTATGTCACACAGCATCAGTAACGTGGCTACCACCTCTCCTTTGCTTTAGCCATCTCTCAGGTGAGTAGGCAGTGCCTATTCATCCCTGGTGCAGGTGTGGAGGTCAGAGAATAACTTGTAGGAGTCAGTTCTCTTTTTCCACTATGTGAGACCTGGGGATTGAACTCAGGTTGTTGGGCTTAGCAGCAAGCAGCCCTCTTGTCTTTCCATTTATGGTCTATTACATTTTCCTCTTTCCCCACCATGAATGTGTCTTTATTAAATTTCAAAATATTTGTTCTATAATATATGTTTGAACAAGAACATGAGATTTCAACATGGGCTCAATTTTTCTTGAAATAATATACTTCTGATTCTTTCACCTTTTTATATATAATCTATATCTTGTCTGCTTGCTCCTTTCTTTTTTGGTGTGCAGAATGAGATGGTTGGAGTAGACTTTTTTTAAAGTACACAATTTGTTTTATATGGTTATCAAGATTATTCTAAAGAATTCAGAGACACTTAACACCCCCTTTTGTCTTGCACTGACAATTCTCTCATTGCTATACTCTTACTAGTTTAAAGAGACATAGAACTCAGAAAAGCAGCCGGGCGATGGTGGCACACGCCTTTAATCCCAGCACTCGGGAGGCAGAGGCAGGCGGATCTCTGTGAGTTCGAGACCAGCCTGGTCTACAGAGCTAGCTCCAGGACAGGCTCCAAAGCCACAGAGAAACCCTGTCTCGAAAAACCAAAAAAAAAAAAAAAAACTCAGAAAAGCAACTGAATCAGAAAAGGGCCGTTGGTCAATGGTGAGCTGAAGAGTAACACAGAGTATCCGAGTTCAGTATCAAGGTCACCGAGCTCCAGTGTAGCATGACCTTGCTACCAAGTTATCCTGGGCTTTGTGACTGAATTAGATTTGAAGAACACAATGACAAGAAAAATATTACTCATGAAGATGGGAGTCTAGATCTTTATCTTGGGAAAGTTCATACTTTTTTAATAGTTAGAACGTACGAATACTTGCATTATTATTTCAAGGTGTTTTTATTACTATTAGGCTTTTGAAGTTGAAGTAACTTGTTACAGTGGCTTAATTCTTTTCTGTTCCTGAACTAAAAAGTTTTTACTTTATAGAATGGGAGGGTTTTTGTTTGTTTTTTGTTTTGTTTTATAGTTTGTAATTCAGGTACAGAAAATAGAGAAGAGGGATGGTACATACTATGATACTCTCTTTGTTGTGGATAATCCATGACTCCCAGGTACCTCATGGAAAGCTAGCTCTGGGTCAACACATACAAAATATCAACCAATTACTTCTTAAAATTGGTGAGAATTTGATTTTCTGCAATATTTTAAAAATCATGTGCCTGAAACAGTCATTCTCAAATTTTTCAGGTTTTAGCTCTAAATTAGTTGTTTTAGTGGACTTGTGTTTATTAAGTAATGTATTTATTTGTTGAAAAATGTAGAACTATCATTTATCAGCTGGAATGTCTGTCACTAGTCATAACTTTATAGAAACTGAAATTTTAGATTGTTCCAATCTAAAAAAATTAAAAATATGAGATTAGGTGTCTTTCCTCCAGAAAGTAATTCTAAATATTGAAGCAATTTGATGATGTATAGCCAGTTCTCATATTTCACATTTTTCAGGTAATCTTTCATCAGAGGAAGGCAGGCCTTCTTGGCTCCTCAGTTTAATAAATATATCACAGAATCTGTTGCTTACCCAAACTGCTGTTCTGATTTGTTGACATTCTTCTTGTTTAGACATACAACCTGTGCTGCCCAGATTCTCTGCAAAGCTGACTTGGGCTTCAAAGGAGGGTGACCGTTCTCAAGACACATCAGGCGTAACACCCTTCCAGATGACTTTTAAGGCAAGTTTTGTTGTGGTTCTATACACTCTGGTTATTTGACTTAGTTTCACACAATTACAATTACAGGAAAGAAAGCCTGGTTCCTTTGTAGTTTGAAGGTAGAGTAAAATAAAGATGCTTTGTAGACATTAGATGACCTAGGAGCTCCCAAAATGCTGATGTCTGGGTCCTACTGAGAGGCTGATATTTAATTGACCTTGGGAACTCACTAGTCTGGGTGTCTACACAAAATACCATAGACCAGGTGGCTTAAGCAACAACGATCTATTTACTCACAGTTCTGGAGGCTGGAAGTCCAAGACCAAGATGGCATCTGGGTTAGGTGTAATGTTTGTGTCTGTAATCCCTGGGATCAACTGAGCTCTGGAGAGAGGATGTTTGGAGGGGGTGGAGCACCTTCACGATTGCTGTCTGGAGAGCCTCTTCCTGGCTTGCAGACTGTTTTCTTGTCACTCAGTTCTTACATGGCCTTTCCTCAGTGTGTAATAGAGAGATCTCTCTTATTTGTGAAAAATAAAATCCCTTCACTGACTTTAAGGTGCTATGTCTAAAAATAGTCACCATGGCAACTAGGGCCTTGGAAGGTGGAGCAGGAAGAGATCAGTTCAGCGGCATCCTCAGCAGCAGCATAGCACATTCTAGTCTGGCTGGAGCTGTGTAGGAACTGGTTCCAGAAACAAACAAAAACCAAAACCTTCCGTGTTTGAATAACTGCAAATTCCTTCTGGGAGGGGCAGGCACAACTTCAGGATACTCTGACTGTGCCTTATCTTCTTTAGGGGAGTGCAAAGTAAACAATCTGGAGCAGTTAATGGTTAGTCAGCTCTGAAACTGCTGATGCCAAGAAGCAATAAAAAGGTGATTCCGGTGAACCGAGGAAAGCAATGCAAAGAACTGAGAGCATGTGATTCAGCCAGTTTGAGCAAATAACCCACATGACTGACATTTACAAATATTTAAGCCTCTGACATCTATGAAATAGGATTAGCACCCCACTTTACAGATGACAGAATTGAGATGCAGAGAATTGGGTTGACTTTCCTGGTGTCATATGAAAGTGGAAGAATTAGAACTTAAACTGTCTGATTCATATAGGTCAATGCTAGTTCAATATTTATTCACTTAGAAGGCAGTGTCTGTTCATATTAGTCACACTGAGCTAGGTCTTATGGGTACACATTCCTCTGGAGGTGTTATTTGATCGTTAGGAACTTGGAATATAAAGGAAAGACACACATGTCAGCAAACATTACAAAACATTGTGATATACGCCAGAATAAGGTAAGCACTGAGGGAATCCCAACCACAAGGGATTCGGGTCTAGAGGTCTTGATATTGGAAAGCAGATTTGAATTTAGATCAGAGGAATTCTGGAACAAGAGGTTATAAAACACTTGGAAGAAAAAAGTTTCTCTTTTTTCCTAGTGCAAAACTGTTTCCCTAAGAAAAATAAAAGTATGATTAAATCAAATATTTAGAGTATATTTATAATTTCCTTATCAAGGAAGCCACTGGTAATATATTGGTGTGTATTTTTTCCAGTTAGAGTGAGGCATTTTGGTTTAAAACGTGGTTCTGAACCTGTGGGTTGTGACCACTTTGAGTCAAATGCTCTCACAGGGAGAGCATATCAGATATTTATATTACAATTCAAAACAATAGCAAAATTACACTTTTTGTATATTTATCTCCGGGCATAGAAATCTTCAGGACATTAAATGTCTTTTCAAAATCATTCACCAAGCTGCCTTGGCCACACTGGCCTGTAGTAAGCCCAGTTGCTCCATCACTGGGGGTTTCTCAGAGAAGTCACCCTGGAGTGGAGGTCTCATTCCAGATATTCAAGGAGTTTGCAATAGTCTTTTGATTTCAGGGTATGATGTACCCAAAAGCTACCCAGGTGTGACTTTTTAGCTCAAAGCAAGTTCACTTTCTACACATTTTAGGATCTTTTACCAACCATAGCAGAGTGCAGCCCCCAGCTTATAACCAGCTCTTAAAAGTAACAATTTACTATTCTCTGCTAACCTGATGTAACTTTCTTGGTGTTCTAATCTGACTTAGATGCAGGTCCCGGTTTTGTTTATCTTTAGATTACAAAACTTTTTACATTGTCATACGAGTTACTTATTTCTCCTAGAACTATGAACCTTTCTAATTTGTAGGTTGTTTTATTTCTATAGACCCATATATGCAAATAAGTTATATTAGTGTTTTGTGAGTGAATAAATAAATGTAATATTAAGTAGTCACATGTAGGCATTGCTTGTCATTTTTCATGAAAAAATAGTGGAGTATATGATAGGAGAAAAGGGTAGATTATTGAATCTACTCTGAAAGAAAAAAGGGAGGATATAGATATAATATGATAAAAAGGTAGATTATTGAATCTACTTTTAAAAAGCAATTATTAGTCTAAAGTATCTTAATTGAATTAGACCTTTGTATATTGTATACAAATTATGTATATTGATACAAATTTGAGATTAATTTTGTTAGAATATACTATACATACATTTCTACTCTTGTTCAAGGTTTTGTACCTATACAGCTCATTTAACAATGCAATGCAAATTACCAACTGTTTAGGATAATAAGGAAATGAAGTCACCTATTACAATTAAACTTGTCCCATTAGGTATGTTTTCAAGGTCAAAAAAGATAGATAGACACATCATCTTCAAACACTTCAGAGATCTACAGAATATGGCAATTAAGGAGTTTTAATAACCTAGGTTCTTCTTTTTATGACAATGAGACATGTCTGCTCCTGGCAGCACCAATCTACTTCAGAGAAGACAATGGGCATCAAAGAAACTCCACACGGAGTTTACTTTCTTTGTTGCAAAAGTAAGCTATTGGGCAAGAAAATGCCCTTGCCTTGACCGCTGACAGCATGCTGTCCTAAAGTGGACAAGCAGGACACAAAGAAGAGTGACTATAAAGCCTTGCCCAGACAAGGCGGGACAGTCCTTTAAATATTCTGCTTCCTAGAAAAATCTGTCAAATATTCTAGGCCTTTAAGCTGAATATGGATGCTTCAGTGTTGCAGAGGAACCTTGGAAGATTGTCCAGGCAGCCAGCTGTTTCTGTCATTTTTCACATTTTTTGGAAGTCACTTGCTAGTATTTTCTGCTTACTCAGTTAATATTATTTCTTTCTCGGGTCTCTGAGGGAGTTGAAGAATAGATAGGTATAGTTATAGACTTCTTTGTTTACCAGACTCAGAAAAGAATCTAATTAAAGAGGTATACAGTGTATAAAGTTGAAAGATATTAAAAGATATTTTTGGATGATAATGCAAATTAGGGTAAAAAGTGAATTAGGTACAACACTTGGACTTACCAAGGTAAGATATATAATGGAGTATTTTCTCTGAATTTGTCAAGTGCTAATGGACTAGACATTGTTGATGTACTTATTGCCTATATATATTTTATTTGGTTATTATACATATTGTATATAGTTTTCTTTATTAGTTATAGCCTTTTTAAAATTTTAGACAAAAAGGGGGAAATGTAATGATATTTTGTTTGTGTTTTTAACAAATAAAGCTTTCCTGAATTTCAGAGCACAAAGCTAAGCTACTAGAGGCCAGGCAGTGGTGGCACACACTTTTAATTCCAGGACTCCGGAGACAGAGGCTACCATGGGTTACACAAGATTGAATCTGTTTAAAAGAGAAACGGAGTTCACACAAAGGTGATCCCAGCACTTGGGATTCCATGTCTTTTAATCCTATCACTAGGGAGGTAGAAACAGGAGTGATATGGCTGGGCAGAGAGAGGAATATAAGGAGGGAAGAGACAGGAGCTCAGTGCAGTCTGAGGATGCAGTCTGGAGGTGCAGTTTGAGTATGCAGTATGATGACAGGATTGCCCCTTAGTCTGAGCATCGGTAGAGTTAAAAACTCTCTCTAGTGACTGACTGCTCTGCTTCTCTGATCTCTTAGATTCTACCCCCTAATATCTGACTCTAAGTTTTTATTATTAAGAGCAATTAGAATTTGAGCTACATTTGGTACCAGACTGCAGGGAGTCAGTTACAGGTTTGAATCCCAGTGATGTCATTTATCTACCTATGAACTTCAACAAATATATTAACTTAGAGTTTTATGATCTTCTTTATAAAATGGGAATATTCCTGCTTCCTCGTAACTCTCGGCCTGTAGTGTGCTAAGTAAATAGTAGCCATCATCATTAATTGTAGCCTCTCTTTTTAGATCTGTTTGATGAACTTTCTTTACTTACTATTTGCTTTACTGTTAGATGTAATCAGCTTGCTTTTTGATACACCCTGTAATTAGCAAGGTTCAAAGATTTGAAACTGTTTCAAGAACTTGCTTTTGAAGTGTCAAGTACAGAAAATGATTTTAAAATACAATTGTTTGTCTACCATTTAAACATTCTATACTAAACATTTTTTTCCAAGACAGGGTTTCCCTGTATATCTCTGACTGTCCTGAAGCATGCTCTGTAGACCAGGCTGGCCCCAATCTCACAGAGATCCTCCTGCCTCCAACTCATGGGTGCTGGGATTAAAGGTGTGTGCCACCGCCATCCAACTCTAGCAAGCATTTTAAATGAAGGATGTGACTACACTATGTATTCTGCAGGACTGCAGTTTCTATTTAATCACCTCTGCTTATAAGTATGAAAAATCCTCGACTTCTTAGTACTGGGTGAGGGGTTACTTACAGGAACAGAAGTTACTCCCAAACAGCTGCATCACCAAAGCCCACCCCAGCATGGTTGACATCTCACAAAAGCTGGAAACTGAAGCTCACTGCACAGCCTGCAGGTGGCTCAACTGGTTGGAGAGTGTCCTAACAGGTGGCTCAGTTATCCTAAACCTCTCCCAGGCAGTTCACCTGGTTACAGTTTCTTACAGGATGCTTGCCTGGTCTCAGATTCTTCCAGGTGGCTGGGGTTGTCTGAGAGTGGCTCTCAACAATCTTTGTCTGTTTGAGGGAGAAAGAAGCCTAGTGCATCTGGTCAGTT